ACAAGAACCGACCTCTCAATACAAAGTACAAGATAACACAGCGGAAGACTTAGATACCAGTGATCCAAACAATCAATATTGCAATGCAGCCCTGAACATACATCATCATCATCGTTACATGGTGTGAATGGGGTCTGGCGCTTCACACAGGAATACTGCGCCAGCCCCTACCATACACAGACGAAGAAGAAGGGGTTAGACGAAGAGGAGGGGAAAGATGGGAATGTCGTCAACACCAAGTCTCGGCACAGGCCCAAATAGTCCCTCGTCGAAATGTCTGAATCCCAAATGTCAAGTCTGGATCCAATGTCGTCAAGTCTCAAGTCACAACTCTGTCTCTCTTAGTCGTAGTCTGAGAAGTCAGGTGGCGAGAGGGTGAGAAGAGATGGTGGACTTTAGAAGAGGAAGAAGAAGAACTCTCTCTCTCTCTGTGTCCAGTACTAACCTGTGAAGTTGGTGCCTTGATGCAGGTACCTCGCAGATGGAGCTGGAGCGATGGCGCCACAGGTAAGTACCGCTGGCCTCCGCCAGTATCTCTCCCAACTCTACGATCTACCACCTACCAGCGCCCAGCGCAGAAGACTACTCTATGGCTATGGGCGCCCAGCGCCGAAGACTACAACTAACGCTGCAGGCTACTGCCTAGCGCTGAAGACTACTGCAGCGCTCCTCCTGAGTGCTGYGGCCGAATTCTGAAGACTACTCGTGCCTACTGACAACTACCTACCCGTGAAGTGCATGGGAACTTCCTATGTACTACCGGGTGCCTCCTGACTGCAGGCGAGCAGTCCAGGAGGCTGCTCTTGCCAATGCCGATCGGAGGCAGGGGCTGCCGCTGCAGCTCCTGCTCAAGCGTGGGGAACAGGCTATTTCTGGCCTGTTCCCGAAACCCTGTTTTCGTGCCTGAGTCTTAGGTAGGTCGAACACAATGAGGGCCTGAAAATGGCCCTCCGTTTCAGGCTAAAAAGCCTCTGGGCCTGAAAGGCCCAGAAATAGGCTGAAACGGAATAGGGCCTGCAGACCCTCGTATTTCAGCTTTCAGGCTGAACGACGGGGCCCTGTAAGCCCTAAGTTTTAGGCTTTTAGGCTGAAAGTGCGGGACGGGCCCTGCAGGGCCCGTGTGGCTACGCAGTATGCCCCCCCCCCCCTCCTTGAAAGACTAAGCTTACCTGCGAGGGCGAAGCTGTCTGTCTGAGGGAGGGACCACAGTCCGGGTGGGAGGGGCAGGTCATGGGGGTCCCTTGGCTAACCTTTGACACTCGTAGTGAGCGTAGATCAGCGGTGCAGATGCTTTCAAATCTGCTCCTGAAATCCACCGAGTGTCGTCGGGATCGCATGCTCTGAATGTAACTTTGTACTGTCGCGGCTTGCTGTCGTACTTGCGATCCGAGATGACGCGGTCAACCTCCTGATGACCATCCATAGATGGACGGTCCTACGATCGTCGGCCCGGGAAGTCGTTGCTCTTAGCTGGTGTATATGTTGCCAGATTTGATGCGTGAAAGACTGGATGGACCGTCAGATGCTCGGGAATGTTGATCATAAATGAAGGGCCATCGGGCTCATCGCCCGCGGCTGATGTCATAGACCATGGTCTAAACCACTTGGGAAGCAGTTTGCGTGAAACATCCTGTTCCAGTGCAAACTCTTCTGCGGAGACCCAAACCAGATCACCAGCGCGGATGGGACATGGTACGCGACGCTTGTTGGCTTGCTGCTGCATGAGGACTTGAGCCTTTTGCATGTCTGCGCGGGCTTGAGTGAGCAATTCCCTGTACGTCCGGATGGAAGCGGGAGAGCAAGCAGCGTCAATGTCGGCTGGTTGAGGGAGGAGAAGGTCGGCGAAGATCCGGCCTTTCCGTCCACCGTGGTGCAACTCGAATGGAGTCACGCCGATCGCCGGATGCACCGAAGTGTTGTAGGCGAACTCGATGTCGGGGAGGTGGTCAACCCAATCTTTCTGGTCCGGACGGATGAGTGTACGAAGCATCATTTGAGCGTTTTGATGTGCCCGCTCCGTTTGCCCGTCCGTCTGTGGATGCCGAGCCGAACTTGGTTTCATCTTCGTGCCGGACTCCTGCATGAGAGCAGTCCAAAATGCCGACATGAAGCGAGTGTCGCGGTCGCTGACTATGTCTTCTGGTACACCGTGGCCACAAATCCAACCAGTGTGCAGGAGGCGTGCCAGTTCAGGAGCCGTGGAGTAGTACTTGCAAGGAAGAAAACGCGCGTACTTACTCAATCGGTCCACAACCGTGAGGATGCCGTCGTGCCCGAGCCGGTCGCGAGGGAACGGACCGGTGACGTCCATGGCAATGGAGAGACCGGGTTCCCGTGGGATAGGCATCGGGCGTAACTCGCCATAGGGATTGCGGTTGCGGGGTTTGCTGCGTCGGCAAACTTCGCAAGAGTCGCAATACCGAGTGACATCGGTAATGAGGTCAGGCCATCGGAATTGTTGTCGAAGCCGTGCAATAGTGCAGTTGACTCCGAAATGGCCGACGAGTCGCGAGTCGTGGTACTCCCCGAGAAGGCGAGTCCGAAGACGACGGTCGCGTGGGACACACAATAAGTCCTTGCCTCTCGAGTGGAGGAGCAAGTATCCGTGGGCAATGCGATAGTGGCTGGCCGGCGGGTGATCCGAAGATAGCTGTGCGTACAGCGTGGCGAAGTCCGGATCAGACTCATATGCCCGGATGAAGTGTCGCTGAAGCTCCTCGTCGAATGCGAAGGCATGATGTGTCATAAYGCAAAGATCTGGTCTTYGCGAGAGTGCATCTGCTGCGCGATTTGAGAGGCCGGGTAGATGTTTCGGTGTGAAGTCAAACTGGTCGATGAAGTACATCCATCGTCCAATCGTGCTGCTCACCGTATCCTGCGTTTTGTAGTAGGTCAATGGATTGTTGTCCGTAACCCATGTGAACCTACGACGCCCAAGGAGGAAGTGTCGCCATCGCTTGAGAGCCATGACGAATGCGAGCAACTCCTTCTTCCTTGCATCATCAAGCGAGTTGATGGGAGGCACTTTGTGGTTGAAATACTCCACAGGGTGCCAGTCGTCGCCATCGTTTTGTTCCAAGATTGCCCCAATGCCATAGCCGAAAGCGTCCGTAGTCACTCTCGTAGGCAGGACAGGGTCATAGATGCTAAGGACGGGTGCCATGAGCATGACCGTCTTGAGTGCTTGGAATGACCGGCGTGCGTCGTCATCGAATGGCACCTTTGGCGACTGTAACCTCGTCATAGGTGCAGCAATCCTGGAGTATCCGGTGATGAATCACTGATAGTAGCCCGCCAACCCCGTGAATGAACGAACGTCCGTGGTGTTGGTGGGCTCGGGCCATATTGGTAGGGCCTCGATCTTGTCCGCAAGCGGACGGATGCCTTGCGGCGTCACATAATGTCCCAAGTACTCCAGATCCTGTCGCGCGAATTCGCACTTGTCGCGGTTGGCCTTGTACTTGGCTTGTCGTAGCCGCTCCAAAACGGTGCGCAGGTGTTCCACATGCTCTTCCAAACTCCGGCTGTACACCAGGATGTCGTCGAGGTAGATAAGTACGTATCGATCCAGCATGTGTCGAACTCCGTTGTCATAGCCGCTTGGAAAGTGGCCGGGGCATTCGTAAGGCCAAATGGCATAACCAGCCATTCAAAATGCCCATATCGCGTCTTAAACGCGGTCTTGTAGCGATCCTCCTGCCGGATCTCGAGTTGGTGATATCCTGACTTGAGATCGAGCTTGGAGAAGAACTTGGCGCCGCCCAGTCGCTCGAGAAGATCGTCGATGCGTGGGAGAGGGCCGGCGTTTCTGATCGTCTGCGCGTTGAGCTTGCGATAATCGATGCACAACCGCAAATCCTTGTTCTTCTTCCGGACGAAGAGAACAGGAGCACCGTATGGCGATGAGCTAGGCCGAATCCAGCCTTTCTCCAGAAGGTCGTCGAGTTGTGCCCGAAGCACACTTGACTCTTCCTCGCTCATTTGGTAGATGCAACCGCGCGGAGGTACGGCCCGGTCCTCGAGGATGATCTCGTGGCGGATGGGCCGATCCGGTACTACTTCGTGCAGGCCTTCGAACACGTCGCTGTAGGCGTCGAGAAGTTCGGTGATGCGTGGATCCGAAGAAGAGTCCGTCGATGAAGCGTCATGGGGCGGGAGGGCGTGAAGAAAACACACCCCATTTCCTCGATGTCGTCTCTAATGATGGAAGCTCGCATGCTTGCGGCGGATACCACGTGACAGCTGACTGAAGGATGAGGAGGAGCTACCGTGCATGGGACTAGTACTCCGTTCCGATCACGAACATGAACGGTGCGGCGGTAGAAGTTCACCGGGTGGTCCTCGCTTCGCAGCCATGACATGCCCAAGATCATGTCGAATTCGGTGTCCAGAATGTCAAAGGACACCGCCTCACTTGCGTGAGGGGCAAAGTACACTGGGACGTCATCAATGCACTGGTCGATTGACTTGTGCGTGTGACCGTCCGCCAACGTGACTTGCGTGGGCTGGGACTTCCTTCGGACTCGTGGGCCAAGGCCGACGCGTACCATGAAGTCCCGACTCATGTAGTTGCGAGATGTTCCGCAATCGATCAAAGCGCTGCAGGTCGCCTCTCCGATCTGAATGCGTACATATAGCAATGGTGCGTCGATGTCGTCGTACCGTTGCGTCTTGAACTCGCGGTCGATCTTCGCAATGTAGGCGTGAAGGTCGACAACCTCTACTCCAACGTCCATCAACGGAGTCGGTACTGCAGTGTGCAAGTAATCCCGCAATTGTGCTTTGAGCACGTTGCAATGCGGTTTCGGCAATCGACCGGACCGGGGCAGGGGCATCCATTGGAAGTCCTCAAAAGTCAACGGGTCGAGCTCTTCAAGTCTTGACCATGACGTTGAATCCCCGGCGGTAGATGACGGCGAAGCTGCCGAATCGATTGTCGATGGTGATGAAACCGTGCATGCGGTAGATTGTTGCACGTGGAGCGGTTGGTCCAGCGGTGGAACCAAGTGGACAGCATAATCCTCGTAAGTGTATCGAGGACTTGCGACATGCGCATCCTCCCCAGATGTGTAGGAGGCCGCTAGCAAGGCGGCCGAATCTGGCGGAGTGAGAGGTGGAGTCGCCTCACCTCCTGCGCAACTCAGTTTCCCGAGTTAAGACGAGGCCGCACATCCTCCTTGGCCTGATTCTAGCAAAGGGAGGTCTTGTGCTTGGTGCTGTTGCACCAGTAGCAGCAGCCGTAATGGCCGCGGTACTTGTACTCGGCCTCGGTCAAGCCGAACTTGACCCATGGTGGTGTTGGCTGTCCATTTCCGGCCGGTGATGCTGATTTCGCCTTCCCGTTCACTCGGGGTTTGTTGCTGCTTCGCGGCTGGACAACAGCCACCTGATCTCCCTCACGTGACGCTTGGGTGGCTGCCGGGTCTTCCACAGTGTTGTCCGATTGGACTGCAGCGAACTTCTGCTGTCGCGGACCAGTTCTCACCTTCTCCACATAGGTTGGCTGCCATGTTGACTTCTCGTGTGCAACCGACCTGTTGGTCTTGATGATCTCCCTTGCCTTATCAATGATCTCAGCGAAGGTGGTGTATTGCTCGCGATCACCAAGTGCCTGGCTCAGTGCAGCACATGACCTGTTGTAGAACTCACGGCGTAGATGCGTGAATGGTAAGTCCAGACCGGGCACTGCCGCGATCTTTTGCCATTCCGTGAGCCAGTCCCGTGTTGCTGTGTTGCCCTGAGACATGGTGAAGAGATGGTTGATGGCTAGTGCTGGTTTGTCGTCGATGATGAACCGCTTCTTCCACAACCGTGTCAACTCTTCCCATGTGATCTTGTCCTTCAGATCCGCAACGTCGACGCCATGGGTGGCTGCCAGGTAAGTCAACCAGATCTGGCATCCGCCCTTTGAGTTCATGAACAAGGCTCCGATGTACGCGTGTTTGGCGACAGGCAGAATCCAAAGTTGCGTCGTGAATGCTTCCCACCAGAGCACCGGGTCCTGATGCGTGTAGCCGTCGAACCTGTCAAGTTGAAAAGTTGGCATCTTGTATTGCTTTGGATTGCCATCCGTGTTCGTCGACTGCAGTTGCTGGACCTCGGTCTTCAATGCATCCAGCTGRCTGCTGATGGTGGTCGGCGCAGCGAAGGKGYTGATGTCGCCGAGCATTGCCACTACGTGGTCAACGCGTTCCTCCAGTTGGCRGCTAGAGGGTGCACTGCTGGAGGCACCAGCATCTGGTCCTGGTACTGCCTGTTCCAGTTCCAGTACACGGGCATTGAGTGCCCGTGTCGCATCCTCGTGGCTCTGCACCATCCGGCGGAGGTTCGCCAACTCTTGGTGTTGTTGCTTCAGATCCTGGAACAGCTGTTGCAGTTCCTGGTTTTGTCTCTCCAACTCGGACCGTTGGTAGTTGCAAGCATACAACAACCGTGTCACGAGTTTGGAGAGGAACTCCTTATGTTGCTCTTCCGGTGTTGCCTCGTCGCCGTTCGGTTCAAAGTGCCAGAACTTGAGTCTGTCGATGCTGTTGGCTTCATGCCGCTGTAGCAGATCCTGGGCTTCCTTGCGGCGAGCCTGGGCATCTGCGTCTGCGTCGGCCAGTAGCCGCAGCTTCTCTGCTGCTGCCGCTTCTTCAGCCTGTACGCGGGCAGCCTCGGCTGCCAGCTGGCGTTGCTCCTCAGTCTCGATCAGAGCGATCTGGGCCTGGAACCGCCGTTTGTAGTCGGCCAGAGACTCGTTGGCCAGTTGGCCTGGCATGCCCAGAGCTGGGCCTGTCATGCTGACGTGGCACTGTGACTGACGTGGCGCTGCTGACGTGGCACTGCTGACGTACGTGGCACTGTTGCGTACGTGGCAGTCTGACGTGTCACTGTGTCTGACGTGTCACTGTTGCTGATGTGTCACTGCTGACGTGGCACTGTTGCTGACATGGCACTGTTGCTGACGTGTCACTGCTGACGTGGCACTGCTGACGTGGCACTGCTGATGTGGCACTGCTGACATGGCACTGCTGACATGGCACTGCTGACGTGGCACTGTTGCGTACGTGGCACTGTCTGACGTGTCACTGTTGCTGACATGGCACTGATGTGTCACTGCTGACGTGGCACTGTAGCTGACGTGTCACTGTGCCAACTGGGAAATGCATGCAAAGGGGTGGGTGGGAGAGAAAACGTAGGTAGGCAAACAACCCAACAATACTTTCCTCCGGCCCTAATCAACAAACAAAAAAAAAAAAAAAACAATAAAAGAGTACTACTTCCTTTTTTTTTCTTTTTTTTTTTTGTATATCTGTCGATCTATTATGAGTAGGACATCTCAGAAGAGTACTATGAACGAGATCTAGGCTAGGTTCCGCAAAGTTTCGGCTTTTACAAACTGCGATCTTGAAAAAACAATTTTTTTTTGCGAAATGGAGTAAAGATGAGATTTTCAGAAAAGAACGAAATCCAGTTTCTGAGAATATAGCAACCTCC